TATATATATAATCATGCTTTTACATCGATGAAAAGCGATTGCTTGATTTTCAGTCAAAATTCTTCCGTGATTTTAAGCCAACGCACCTGAGGAAATAATTGAAATGAAATGATCTTTTCAACATGCTAACTACTCATTACTGTTAGTTCACTGTTGTGTATCCCCTTTTCAGTGTCGTACTCTGCTCCAAGCCTTGGGTGTTCCCTGTGTACAAAGTCCTGGCGAAGCCGAAGCAATGTGTGCTTTGCTAAACTCTTCTAAAGTAAGTCACTGTGCTGTCGAACTTTTGAAATCAATGTGCCTTATTCTAGTTACCCCGTAGGGGTAGACATCAGTCTCCTTCCCATCCTAGCTCTGCCTGCATTTGATGTTGTCCAGTGCAGTCTGATCAGCACCAATGGGTCAATTCTTTTGGCGCCAGTGACGAACGCTACTGCTAAAAGTAGAAACAAGATGGGGTAGTAGGTTCTTAGGAAAGTTCGGAGTGTCTACATCACCAAACACTCACCCAGTCCATCTGGATAACCAACGTCAGCTTGAAGTGGGTGAAGAATAAAATAAATCGTTCAGCTGTAGTGCCCTTCCGGTGCCTACCTACCATGTCAACGGAAGAAGGTACGATGACTGGGATACTGCCAGGTTGCCCAAGCCTAGACAGGAGCAGTCGAGATGCTTGGGTTGGTTTCGAGCCATTGACCTTTTGCCCGTAAGCGGACGCCTTGACCACTGAGTTATTTCGTCTGCTACTTATGTAGACCACATGAAATGACATTTATGCACTTGTTTATTGACAACAACCCGAAGTACAAAGGTACCATCATTCGATTTAATCCATTCGCTGTCAGAGATGCTCTCAGTTCTGACAGTTTTAGATCACTCATGAAAAGAAACCCTTGGTGTTTTACCCCTTTCGTCCTGAACTTTGCGCTAGAAAATTCTCAGCTTTTAGGCTCATGTCCGACATTAATCAGTCTCCAGATGACTGGGTTCACAGTTGAACGGAATTCTCATCTCGAGAGAACCATTCCACCCGTCTCGTGGGTGTTCCCCCTACTGCCTTCTAAGAAGATCATTGTACCTAGTGAGTTCCTTCCGAACATTCCACGATCTCTGTTACCTAACCTGAATGACTTAAAACCGGCCGACGTACACCTCGTCCTAATTCGTACACTCGGATTTTTTTCTGGGTCTGGCTCCCTGGCAGCACCCCCAGCCCACGTACAGCTAAAAATCTCATGCCACATCAGCCGTCGAGTGATGGTACCAGCAGGGGGTCGCACTACTTGCTTCATACGACTAGGCAGGTAAGCGGAAACATGCTGTTGCTGACGCCTCCTTTCTTACAGTTTCACGTATCCCCTCTTCTACCCTGCACCACTCCAATTTGAGTACTCGCTCCACAAGTCCCAGCTTTATGACTGATCGCTTCCGTCGTGCACCACGCTCAGCTGCAGTTTTTGTCATCCAACTTCAGTAACAACCCTAAACATTTCGGAATCAGTTCTCAAACCCCGAAAGTCCGTCTAATTAGCCACCTTCAATGTTCGCACACTGAAGCAAGCAGGATAACAGACGGATCTTGCTTGTACGTTGGATTACCTCTGCGTTGATGTATGCTGTGTCAGAAATAAGGATACTGGACGCAATTACGGTGATCGAACTGACTTCTCCCTCACTCTCTTCCAAGTTCCGACTGTGCATGTGTGTTTGGATACTGGTTCACAGTCGCTTCTGCGCGGTTCGTTTGGCAACTTCTATGACAGAATCTCGAGAAACTGAGCTCCGTGGCACACTGCTTATGCCCCGGTGGACAGTAGGTCTAAACGTGCCGAAGACGGTTTCTATGACGTCCTAGGTGCTCTTTTACAACGGGCTAAAAGTTCAGGCATCGTTGTGTTTGCTAGCGACATGAATGATCAGGTTCACGGGCCTTATGAGGGCACTGTATGCGAACTCCTGTGAACAGATACGATTATACGACAAGCTATCGCCTGAGTTTACCACTTCTAGTGGTGTAAGATAGGGTTACCCTTTCTCGCCTTTCCTTTTCAACCCAGGGCAGCCTTTGCCAACCTCCGATACCCAGGGTGCTGATGTGACGTCAGTCTTTCTGTCAAGGGCAGTGTGATCCATACCGCTTCATGGATGAAAGACACGGTCTGTACGCTCATATGATATATAAATGATGTTAGTGTTCGACCGTCGGTATCTCAAAAGCATTGGTCAGGTTTGCGGGGAACATCGAATTAGTAGTGTTGATGTACGCCAAATGGTTCTGGAAAAAAGGAACTCTTCCAAGATAAATGAATTGCTCACGCTTATTACGACGTGTACTCCACATACCCGATGACCGTTTACCTCGCAGAGCTACTTTCGCTCAGCCCTGTGCTGAGTAGAGCGTCCAAGAGGTCCCAGTCTATCTCCGGGCAACGAAGTGCGGAAACTGTAACCAGTGAACGCACTTGGGTCGAAAACTGCCGCCTCCCTGGAGGGGGACCTCGGGATTCAACTCGGAGAAATGGCTCAATCGCGTGGTTGGTGGCGCTCGTACGTATAAGCCATCACTACCGAGTTCCCGAACCAACTGAACACTCCATCGCCCCCAGTGTTTGACTGCCTCTCCCGCTTCCTGGTGTCGCAAGTGCAGCCACTGGGAACAAATGTGCCCGTGGCACTCTAACCTTCCCACAGAGATACCTGAATACACGTTATGGGTTATTTGAATTTCTACGCGTGCCATTCGGTCTTCGTAATGCAGCAGAAAGCTTTGATTTTTTCGTAGACCAAGTATTCCGCGGTCTACCTTTTGTTTTCGCTTATCTCAATGATATCTTGGTTACTAGTTTCACACCCGAGTAGCTATTAAAACATTAGTATACTTGGTATATTTGTAGTGCACTACTCATAAGGTTGCTGAAAATTCGCCGACAGTCCACGACCGGGTTCGCCCTTTTTGGGGCTCATCAGGTAAGCGCAGTCCCTGGGTTCCCGTCAACCTGATGTTTTACTTGAAACCAAATTACACGAAATTAGCGGATATACACTCATTTGCAAACTGATTTGGTTTTTCGAGAGACTCACCTGGAACATCGCCAGAGAACATCACAAACGAGAGATTCAGCTGGCCTCCAGGTGAGTCTATCGAAAAAACAAATTAGCTTGCAAATGAGTGTATTTCGCTAATTAGTTTACTTTGTTTACCCGTTTAAACGAATATGGCGTCGTCATTCAAAAGTGCATCTTCGGTTTGCCCTTGTTGAATTTTTCGGGACATACTATAAATGAGACAGGGATTTCACCCGTCACCGATAAACTTGACGCCATCCTCACCTTTTCTTTGCCTTCATCTGTTTAACAAGTCAAACTTTTTTTAGGAATGATTAATTTTGTTGTCGGCGTTTCATCCTTAAAGCCACCCACCAATTAGCACTTATTACTAATCTGCTAGCTGGCAATCCTCCCAAAGTATCTCACACACAAACTTTTGAACAGGTTATATCTTTGCTGGTCGTTGGCTTGTTCGATGAACTGGGCAATTTGGTTGCAAACGTTTCATCACCAACCGAGGTGAAGTCATCAGTGCGTGGCGGTTGGTTTTGTTCATCGAGCAGCTTCGTTCTGGTTGACAGAATATATTCAGCTTTGTAGAGCTAGCTTGATCGAGCGTTTTTCTGTGTAATCGTCTACGCAGTGACAGGGTTTGACTATTCCAAAATAACAGTGTCTGTTCAACATTTTGTCTCCCCTTTCTTACTTGACTAGCGAGTGGATGCCTGCATCACCAACGACGGCGACGCATTCCTCTACGGCGCGACCACGGTGTACCGACATTTTACCATGAACAGTAGAGTGAGTGGTGCAGTTTCTTCGTTGCATTCACGGTCGATGCCGTGCTGTTTTGTCATAGCGCCTGATGTTGGTTTTTGTCAGCGTCTTTATTGTCACTTTCCACGTGCAATTCAGCCGTGTACTTAGAGGAACTATTTGTACATCCGACGGGTGCATTCTAGCAAGCTCTATCGCCTTTCCCTGCTTTGTTCATTTTGCTCTTATTGGACTTTTGCCAGTGGACAAACATGGTCGTTTCCGGAACCGATGCCGGTGGCTAGTGAGCATGTTCTTACGGAAGTTTAGGCAGATGTCTTACTCGACCTCTCTACTGAATATGTGATCCAGCCTCGTCGCACTAGATGGTCCTTGCGGTACACCGAAGTAAGTCCAGTACATGCTTCAGTCGATCCCCTCGGACCAGCTTACTGTACCCTTTCTCATCTCATAACTCTGTTTGCATGTTGCGTGTTGCCTGATGACAGCAAGTCAATCATTATAGAGAAAATGTAGCCACTTGCGTTACCTTCTCGGCATGTATGGAACATTGCCGAGCGATCGCAGTTGATGGCGCTGGATGTTTTCTGCAAGCTGAGCACCCACCGCACAGCCAGATATCCATTTCCTGTCTAACTCGTTACGAATTTGTTGATACCAGCAGATGACACACCTGAGGACGCCTCACCTCATCTGCCCGCAGATATCATGTGTTCCAAATACACAACTCTAGCCTGTTCCAAGTGACCCTTGAGAACCAGTGATATGCCTTTTTGACGCCACAAGTGACGCAAATCAACAAAATTGATTTGAACCTTTAAGATTCTTGCACTGACTTCATCGCACACACTTCTGTCAGAGCTGGGGTATTTGAAGCCCTCCACAACCTCCTATGATTCTCCTTGAGTTGCAAGAAGTGTTTTCATGGACTTTACGTTCTGAAGCACGACCTTGCACCTTGGTGGTCCAAATTTTGTGCCCAAGGATCGTATGGTGGTCGACAGTCTATTCAACAGGGCTTGTGCTTTGCCTTGGTCTTCAAGGAATGAAACAATGTCGTCTGCGTACTCCGGATTGACAAGGTTCTCACCAGCAATGATTTGAGCACCAGGGTTTTGAAGACCTTCATCAGTGATAAAGTTTGGCAAGAACGGAGAGAGTATACATCCTTGTCGAACACCGCTTTTTGCAGGGGAACTTTCAGAGAACTCACCATACACTCATACGCATTGAAGTATGTGAAGTATGTTCACAAACTTCTTAGGCATACCCTGTTGATCGAGTTCAATGTGTTCGAATAAATGCTACCTTGGAAAGTGTGTAAAGCTCATCTTGTGGATCCACCTGTGCGGTGTTTCCATGATAACCCAGTGATGAACCGCATACTTTTTAACAAATAGCTCCGCTTGGCCAGACGCTTGGACGATCAATTCGGCCGATTTTAGTTATCCGCAACAAAAACGATCTGAAAGTACACACTAGCTGACATGACAGAGTCGAGGCAGAATTTCAATGAAGAGGTCAACATACCCGAACTTTGATATTACGTCCAACGTACTCTGAGTGAGAAACCCATCTTTGTGTGGACACCAGCGATTTACTGGCCTATGTGTATTTTTTGGCGTTATTGTAAGGTCCCGATCGCGAAAAAAACCTGCGTTAGAACGGATTATCACCCTGGACTACATAGCCAGTGCACGCCTCAGTCTCCTAGATAGACGGCATCTGGATTGATCTGACAACCGAACGAGGTTGTGACATGGTTCATCGCGAACCACCCACTGGAGAGTGTTCTTCACTACTGTGAGAACCACTGCCTTCAGTGCATTTTATGAGGTACCTGGTACGCTATACCTGACTCTACCAATAATGTCATGTACCATTTAGAGGTATTGTTTGTGGCATGAGCTGATTTCATTTGAAGATGCACCTTTATGCAGCCATGCGTGACACGTGTTCAGCTGAAGGGAAGCTTTTCGCCAAAAGGGATAACTTCCCAATTTATCCCAGGTTTAACTCTGTTGATCGAATAGCCTGCCTGATGAAACGTGGAATGTGCCGAAACACTACTAGTTCGGGTGAGTTTAGTAGTTGTGCTCATGCGCACTGATGATGTCTCCTCGTATGGTGGCGAAACGTTTGAAAGCCAAGCTTGGTGAACAGATCAACAGCCACCTGATCAACAACCAGGAAACGTGTAAGTGATACCTGACCTGCGCGAAGCATTCAAACCTCACAGTGGGTGAAACAGCTGAACTGGACCACATCTGCTTGAACGAATCGGTGCTTGCACCTGAGTTGGTTCTTCAAATTAAAATGAAATACTGTCTTCACACGAGTACCTTGATCATCTCGAGTCAAACTAGCACGCTGTCAAAAAACAGCATGAAATCGCTCGCAAATGTGACAGGTTCATTGGCTGGCATTTTCCGACAGACAAGTGATTTTTTCGGAACTGGTTTGGCCCAGTATCCGAGGGCAAGCGTCTCTCAGCATTTCCCTTTCGGGGAATGTTTCTTTTCGTAACTTCGGCGTCATGCACGTGTGGCTGCCAGGACTTCATGTGACATCCCAGGTTGCGGTCGACATCTTTGGTCCCAGTAAAAGTTATGTGCCACAGACGCACTCGTAAGCTTCGAGGTATTCAGGAGGAAACTCAGAGTGGCTGAAGTCGATGTCCACCAGAGCTGGGGCAGGATACATCAATCAGAAATTCTGACTTCTGAAGGAGCCGCCTTTGTTCAGGGGTATGTGAACGTTGATTCGGTGGACCAATAAGAAGTGCTGAAGTACTTCATCAGGCACCTTCTCCTCCTGAGCTCCCAGAATACCCCGATCGAGTGTGTCCACAGTTCTCTTCCTGCCCGTTTGATTGTAGGAGATAAGGAAACAAGTCTAGATGCTGATGTGTAGACATATTTTGAGACATGCTGTTCATCCTCCTCATCTACTTCCACTTCTATTCACACCATTTCTGTCGTGATGACCGCTTAGCAAGAAGTCAACTGATCAACCGGATTCCCGCTGCACCTGACCTCGTCGGTTAAGCAAAACCTGATCTACGTGGTCTGTTTATACTTTGTCGGTATTCAACATAGCGTTATCACCAGTCAAGTACCAGCAGTTTGAAGGATCTTGTTTGCTTTAGTTGTTGTGTATCTTCTCAGCAGACCTCGTCGGTTAAGCAGAACCTGATCTACGTGGTCCGTTTATACTTTATCGGTATTCGACATAGCGTTATCACCAGTTAAGTATCAGCAGTTTGAAGGATCTTCTTTGCTTTAGTTGTTGTGTATCTTCTCAGTACTGTTGCTCGCCTTATGAAAACTGAATGATCTGCCTGCTTTGTCATAGCCTCCTTCATTGCTTCGTTCTTTAGGATCCCAGCGTATACGTTTATCGGTCCAGTCGTATCCATAAAGAGTTATCCATGGACCGATTCTTGTTGGTGTTTCTGGGAATCATTCTTGGCTGTGACTACTGGCCCACGGGAACCGTAGGGATTGGCCAAGCTGGAATACAACGTGTCGTGAGCTCTCTGAGGTGCTTGAATTCGGAAAAGTTACGTGACCTCTTGAACTGCATAAAAACTGGGAGACAAGTTGGTCAGACAGAAGTTGTCGAAGCCCATTCATTTCTTCGTAACCTGGACCCTAAATTGCTCCGATTGTGGACGAAGATCATCGATACTTTTCAACAGTGCCCCGTGGATGAGGTAGGCTGCCTTATGCGGTATTATTTGGCTTAGCTCCACTGGGTGACTTTCCATTTTTTATCTAGTTTCTTGCTGTCCTCTGTGGTTCTGTGTCTTATTTTGTGACCTTTAAACAATTGCTCACTGGGTTATACCTCATCAACTAATCCATCCATTCGGCCAAACGCAGCTCACCAGCACCTACCTCAGTTCATCCAGATAAGTGGTCCGATATCATGATATACTTCACTCAAATTCAGTTCAGTCTTTGAACTCGATCGACATTGAGTTGATGTTGAGTAGCTGTGTCTCACCGAATTAGGTTTTACGATATCCGAGCCTCCACGTAACACCGAATGTATCGTACTTAGAATCAACCGTACTCTCTGGTCGGTGGCGCCTTGGCTATGTACTACTCAACTCCCGAGGAAGCTTATGAAGAGCAAACTTCTATGTCAAGGGGACGATTTTGGAGGCACGCATTTGTTTCGATTGCAGTCTGGTTCTTCAAATGGTTAATTTCTTTACTTTACTTCACAATGGAGCTGCCTTGTGTCACGGACTCACATGAACCGGTTGACTCACTTTTAGCTGGCTATGCCAATATATTAACACCAACAGGCGCACTGCTTTACTTTTCTATTTTGTCACATGCATTTGTTGGTCACACATCTGGCAGGGTTTACATCTTATGTGCTTCGGGTATTACTGTGTTCTTACTTAATTCCGGGTATGTAAGTAATGTACCTACCTGTACTGTATATTTGCCTAAGATCCACATCCGCTCCGTTTCTCTGTGATCGGTTTCGTCGGTTAATCTCTCCCGCTCCTAACTTCCTTGCTTCCTTATTTTTCAAATATTGTCGATAGCTTCACAGGGTTACCAGGATGCCAGTAAGTTGTGCTCTTAACGATAGAAACAAACGACCCAGCCAGCGTTCGAGTTGCAACTCACTTGATACTCAGTATTCTAACCTATTGGATTACGACCGCTCGTTGGTTTGAGCCTTATCCATGAGGATATCCATGGTCCATGTAACGATTTTACGCTTGGCCTATCTTTTGAGTGGTTTCAATCCGTGAGTCGATCGGGAATGGGCCGTTTACAAATTGCGAGTAGTGGCCACTTGCGAATACGTTCCGGGCGAATAAGTATTTGTCCTAATGGTTTAACTACTTGAATGCGGTAAGTAGTATAAAATTAATGCAGCAGACATTCCGGACCAAGCGATGGTATTCTTCGAAGTGAACCTACGGCTATTGCAAGCCTTGGCTTTGACAACTCAGCTGTATTTCGCTGCTCCAGGCTACGTTTTTCCCACCCCGCACGTGGTACTGAAACCAGGAGACCATCTACTGGAATATCTCACGTCCTCTGATGGCCTGTTCCAATTTAATGCTGTTCGTTTTTTTCAGATTATGGTCGAATTTCTCGCCAGTGCTGAAGAGCGAATGTGGTCACTCCCGTCATCTGAGTTTGTGTCTACATGGTTGCGACCGAACCCAAGGGCACTTGTTGCCTTCTGTTCCGCCCAGTTGGACTGGGATCCCGATTACAGTCTGCATCACCTCTTACCAGTGCTTGCCATGTGGGATATGCGTCACCCCCGGTTGGAGGCTTCGATTCCCATGACACAATCAATAGACGATGCTGTAACACTTATTCCCAGGAAGTAAGCCATACCCTTACGCGTTTGTGTCTTGCCGTGCAGTAGTTGGTATCAACAAAATGAGCCTTCGACATCAGGTAGAATCCAAACGTTAACGAACTTACAACTACACAAAAAAACCCCGGCGTTAAAAGTCGGTAGCTGTTGTTAGCGTCTGCTGATGTTTTCTAGAAGACGGATTACAAACTGCTTAGAAAGAATTGCACTGTCAAATGTCTACTCTCAGAGGATCATCAAGTTAGTCACCGTGAATCTGTCGCGCTACCGAAGCTTCTGCAAACGTTGTGTAAGTGGGCCCCTCGGTTCTGCGAATTATGGCTCAGAATCGCTCCCTACCTCACACAGTGGATAAAATTTGAGAGTTGCTATGTTTTACATCATCCGCCTTTCAGGTGACTGCTCTCTGGAGACAATACAGTTGGAATGCAGTTCGACCAACTTATTGGCACGAGGTGCTTAATGCTACTTGTGTCCTATCATTGCATCTAGTGGATAAGCTATAGAGGATGTTGACCTACGCATCCGTAAAGCAAGACTGACCTTCATAGAAATCACGATGGCCGTATAAAGAAGTAAGATCCGCGCACGGACGGCGATTCGTGTGTTCAAAGCAGCAATACTCCAAATTCCTTGGCTATTTCGCGTACAAGACATCAGAAAGCTCGAGATGTGTCTGCCATTGATATCTAAGGTGCATCCTGAACACTATTCTTCTCGATGGTTGAAGAACGCTACTCCAGTATCCCACGTCTCATGCAACCGTTGCAATAGCTACTTCTTCGACTAACACGAAGATGAGTTTTAGAAACTTGTACCGTATCCATACCGTCTTGGACGGCAGCTGAGATTCTGGATCGGCACCGTCATCTCATATTTGTAAGGGTTTGGATTTAGTTTACCGTACGATATCTGCTGCTTCAATCCGAGTCTGATCTCAGTCTGTGTGGACCTAGCCTCTGGCTGCCGTTCGTGGCGGCTACTATAAAGGACATTTGTTTTTCAGGCCAGTTACTCTTGTCTTAGCCACCATTAGGTTAAGTGATTTATTGTAACGCAATTCCCTTTCCGATTAGCTATGATAAACTGGGATTCACACCTTCTCTCTGCCTAGACGGTGTAATTGCCATGTTACTAAGCGTCCTCGTCTAATTAGAGGAAAACTGTTTAAAGTCATCAGTACTTTGTAGTGTTTAATTTATCAAGGGTGGCGAGATGGCCCAAGTGGTTAGGGCGCGAATTTACTGACCTGAGGGTCCGTGGTTCGAACCCGACCTCTGCCTCTCGACTTCCTCTGTCTAGGTTTGGGCGAACCGGCAGTATCCCAGCCCTCGTGCAACCTTCGGGTGGCAGGGCAGCTAGGCATCGAAAGGATGCTACAGCTGAGAGGTTTCCAACTTGTCAAGATTCTTGGATTAATGCCATTTATAGCCGCCGCGTATACCGTTGCCCAATCCATCTCGGTTCGAGTACCTCAATACATTTACTTTCCGCTTTCCGTTTGACACAACTACATCTGTGCCAGTGTTTTTGTACTAGGATCGATGGGGCAACGCATACTTGCACGGACTTATCTGTGCTGGTCGCTTGGATTTGCGGAGAGCACTTAATGTCGTTCGAATTTTTCTCTAGATTGCATTCCTGTTTCGGGTGTTATATGGATTAGGCGCGGAAAACCGTTGCAATCAAGCGAACTTTACTGGTAAGACGTAATGGTACTCATAAAAATAAGAAAATGATACAGCACTACCGTCAGCTAACGCTGTCCATCTTCCTCATTATGCCGTCCAATGGCTCTGGTAGTTCGCCAAACACGATGGCTGGAAATTCAGTAGGGAAGGTTCTATTGCCATAAACAGCATTTTAAGGCCCGCGCTCCACCCTCAGTATCCCATTTTGATTCAGCCCCTGATTTCTCCCCCTATAGAGTGGTGAAGCGGCGCACGGTGAACTTCGTCCCCTGCTTCGAAGTGGAATGGAATCGGATGGGTGAGTTTAGTCTACTTATGAGCGTTTGCTGCTTAGTTCCTGAATGCGAAAGGTGGCGAGATGGTCCAAGTGGTTAGAGCGCGAATTTACTGAACGGAAGGTCCGTGGTTCGAACCCGACCTCTGTCTCTCGGCTTCCCCTGTTTAGGCTTGAGCAACCCGGCAGTATCTCAGCTTTCGTGCAATGTTCGGGTGGTATGGCAGTACAGATGAACGAACGAATGTGGAGGGTCATTGTTCCCTTACCTTTTGTGCTTGTTGTTTGTTCGTTGTCTTTGCATTTTTGTTAGTTTCGTTGCTACAGCTCTTTGGATGGTGTTAGCTATTGGCTATCGTTAATGGTGGTGAGTGCTCAATAGTCAACAAACTATTCAGGTTAGTAGGAGTGTTCTCACCTGTGCGTCTAATGTGTCAACCTACTGCCATAGCAGCTCCGGCTAACTACATGATTTTTTAAGTTAACAGATATTTCTAACCTGAAAAGTACTACAAAGTTCATGGCGCCGTAGGTCGTGTATCTTGCCGAAGAGATCTGCGTGAGTACTCTTTCGTGGCCATTAGTCCTCATCTCACCGACTGACTAGGTGAACTATATGAGACTTTGGTTATCCTCAATTTCTCAAGGTAATCTTTTTGCTCTCTGCTTTTCACTCCGGACAGGTTTTGATTGCTGGACTCGGAAAGGTGGTCTTTCAGGCCGTTCCGTAAATCTCGCTCAGTCTGATAACAAAGAACACAATATGGAACTTACCGAGGTCTACACTTTCCCCGTTCCTGCTGTCGAATTCCAGCAGTCCTATCCATATCTTGTCGAACGTTTCAACTCCGAGTCAGCTAAAGTCTCGCGGAAGAAGCCAACAAAAGTCACATCAAAGTCTGATCCAACCGCGTCAGAGCAGGCTAGTCTGACTGATCTATTCCGGCGGTTAAATTTGATCACAAAGCCATTAGAGCCGAAGCCACCTCCCATATGGGATTCGAGCTCAGAGGCTGAGGATGAATTCCCAAGGTAGGCTATCTCAAACTGAATATTTTGGTCCTGCGTTGACTTCTTTACATTGTTTAGCTGCTATCTCAAGGGCGTTTTTAGCTTTACTATATTATTCCTGGCTTTTGAAGTAGGGATTGGGATAAGCCGGTAGGATCAGGAGCCAATTGGTGAGAATTTCGAAGGAAAACGTTACTCCACTTTTGCTCTGTGTGGTTTGAATAAGCAGTCCAATGAAGCTCATCTCTTAAACTATCTGCTACCACCTGACTTTCACAAGCTGTATAGAAAATCCTTAAAGGCAATCCATCCCCTTAATTGACAGATTTGGTGAACTTTGGAGCAGTTCTGAAAAATCGATTATGGAGGAAGTGGCTATGAGCTAGTCACTCTTGGAGCAGCCCATTTCACGAATTGGCGATGTGGATAGGGACAATGCGTCGAACAGATCAACTTGTACTTTAATGAAGTGGACCAGTGAACACGGATGGACGTATTTCGTCTATTCCCTCCTGATTTTACGAAGGTGGCTTTTAACGAATGTGAGATTCTGAGGATTAGTTGATGAAACGTGTTCGAGCATGATCCCATGAACCAAAATCCAGCTAACAGTCTAAACTGGTTCATGTGTAGACGCTCGAACTTTACGTTTCCGCTATTTCAGCACGCAGTCAGCCGTCAGCTTCTGTATATTTCTTCAGACTTCAATATACAGGTATTCTGGCTACAAAATATTTAAAATACCGGTCCAGTGTTACTTTTTAACTGTGATTCCTGTCATCGGCAGAGCACAGAAACGTTATCATGGCACCGTTCTGGTAGCCGTAGAATCCAAGATGCTGTTCGGTATTATATTACACCTTTTAATCGATCGGCGTGTTGTGTACTGCAAGCGGGAGAACTACCTGTATATCGGTCCTTAGCTTCCTGGTCCGCCTACTGCAGTACATCAAAGAGCATGGCAGTTCGAGACAACTCTTTGTGGAGACAAAGGAAGATTATTACAACCATATGTATAGGGTGGTCGCAAATCCGCAAGATTGCGGTGTTATTTAGCTATATCTTGTGTCTTGTGGCCACAGTTGTCACGTAGCTTGCTCGATAATCTTGTATTCCGTTTTATTTTCACCCACCCTCAGTGCTATGGGCGCATCGCCACCATCACCTGATAAATCTGTATCCGATCATGATGTTGCTGCACACCTGGCGCATGCATTTCATCTCCCATCATCACCACGCGATCTCCAAACAGAGTTTGATTGTCCAAACTATGAATTGAACCTGAAAAGTTCACTTTTATCCAACACTTTATTGCTTTCACCCAAGTCCCTCAGGGAACCCTCCCAGTCCATGTCCGCTTCGACGCATGACTCATTCTCTTTCTTCCGAACCCCGGAATGTCTCAGGGACCGCCTGACGAAAATTGAATGAATCATTTCCCCATAATTTGCTTCTCAGAACCATATTTTACCACACTCAGATTTCGGAAATCCCAGATGCCTTTTGCCACATTATTTTCAATACACTCTTGTCTTATTGAGGAGATATTCTGGTTTGTGTGCCGTGCTTTTGCGGATTTGTGGTGAGCTATTGGTGTGACGAAGCTCTCTCACAATGCGGCACCGCCGTTAAGCCAATCTCCGTGTTTAATGTTGTTTGGTGCAGCTCTTTCCAAAGTGTTTCAGGGAAAACACTAGGGAATCGGTCCTATTCACTGGAAACTGTCAACTATGTTCAAGAGGTTTTCGTGTGCCATGTGACCATTCTTTACAATTTCGTCCGTTTTAGCCTCAAAATTAAAGTGCCTGTTGAACGCTCTTAGGGCGAGATGGCCCAAGTAGTTACAGCGCGAATTTACTGACCCGAAGGTCTGTGGTTCGAACCGGACCTTTGCCATGTCTAGGCTTGGTCAACCTGGCAGTATCCCAGCCCTCATGCTTCCTCCGGGTGGCATGAAGCTAGGCACNAAAGAGTGTTACCGCTGAACGGTTTTTTTTATTCTACGCTCTCAGGAGACTTGCCAACTGTCATTCAGATGGATCTGGTGTTCTTTGTTTCAACGGTCGTAATTAAGACTTGTTTTTGGCACAGTGAACGTGTCACTAATTTAGGGATTTAAGTCCAACAAAATGCCCAGCCATTTTGTTTTGGCCTGGAATCATAGATAGAAGAATAGTCGGATTCTGAGAGTATGCAAGTTAGTACTCCTGCACATGCAGTCACTAAATGTGACAATTACAATCCAGGGAGAGATCCTAGAAGCTGTGGAGACTTTCATGGACTTGGAAGTTGTATTAGTTCTGATTGTAGTATGACAGATGAGGTCAATGTACGAATCTGCAAGGCCCGGATCTCGCTTGCTAACCTATGGTGTCAAAGTGGTATACCCCGGAATCTCAAGGGACGTATGTTTCAAGCTACAGTACGGGCTGTTTTGTTGTATGGATGTGAGACTTGGCGTGTTCGAGCAGCGGAACTGAGATGTCTCCAGGTGCTGGACATAGCTCGTGTGGGTTGGTGTCGGTCAATCCGTAATGAAGCAGACAGAAAGCGTGTTTTCGGTTGTGCAACGGGTACTTCCATTGAAGAATGTGTCCAGCACCAGAAGCTATGTTGGTCGGGACGTGTGTTGCATATGCCGAAGAAAGTGCTGTTTTCCATGCCCCAATCGGATAGGCGGCCAACCCTTGTCCTGACAGAGGGGTGTGATTGTATTCACGAAACGCTTGGGTGCTGTCGGCGCTACTCGCCTTCCAGGATGGGGACCGCGTGATCTTCACTGTGCCTGGTTGGAGACACTACAAGATATGGCTGCCAACCGATGTCAGTGGAGTTCTTGTTGTCAGATTGCCTAAATGAGTGTCTGGAGAGGCAGGTACCTCGGAATGATTGTGGTAGCAGTCCCTTCTCTGTCCACCTTTGCTCTTTTCTTCGCACTATGGTTTTCAAATAAATCATGGTTGTACGGCAGCGAAGCACCACTGTTGATCGTTGATGTCATGCTGTTATTGATGATGAATCGGATTCAGAGTAATGTCACTGGTAAGAATGTCTTGCGTCATTCTGTGACGGACTGCAAAACCTGAGTACTCCCACTCGCCGCTATGGTCTAGCTACCATAGGATAATGCGATTCCATATTGGCTGGAGTGTACGGAAGTTAATGCTGAACACTTTTAGCTGACAGTGTTCATCGTTCAACTTTACCACTCTTTCGGTGCGTAGCTGCCATGCCACACGAAGGAGGCACGAGGGCTGGAATATTGCCGGGTTGCCCAAGCCTAGACAAGGAGGTCGGGTTTGAACCACGGACCTTCCGGTTCACGGACCACTTGGTCCATCTAGCACCCAGTGTTCAACCATTTTATTGTTATATTCTATAACATACCAGTCATGAAGTCGCTCTATGCTCTTTTGGGCAGTCGCTTGGAGTTTGTGTAGTCAGAACACTGTACACCCTTAGGTATTTCACTGTCCTTGTATATTAGTCCTGTACTATCGCAGCAGTGTCCTTCAAAACATTGGTTTTTGACTGGCGAGATTCGGAAGATTTCAAATGAGTATTGTGCAAGCTCAAGGTCATGCAGCACTGCTTGTGTTTGTGCTACCTATGGAACACCATCGTTTCTAGAATCTCACAGGTTTTGAAGAATGGGAACTCATACAATATTCTTTAATCTACGGTCCGAATTTAGGTCGATCCGAACAAGCGCTTGACACATCCATCTGCTTTATGAAACTTTCCTGTTTCGCAGGGCCCTAGAGTTGCAATGAATTGTTTTACTTGGCGTTTTATGCAAAGCACCATCCACGCGAGTTTTTTACGGGAAATATGAGTATTCAGAACCAAGGCATTGAAAATTGGTCCCAATCAGATAACTTCGCGATAGATTTTTGCTTCTGTTCAGGAACCGAACTGTCACTCTTAATGTGAGTTTGCGTACGTAACTCGAGTTTCCGATTTTCCACCAGTTTGATCGTGATATCATGACCAAACAGCATCGTCATCATCATCATCATTGTCAGCTGTAAGAACCGCGTACTCGTCGTACACTGGTTGTAGCTGCCACAGTTTCGTTCACCGATGATTAGGGGGGGGGGGTAGGTAGCTGCGCATTGCACGAAACAGCATCGTGATTAGGATCCGATGGTTCTTTGGTCGAACTTTATATTGGTGTTTGGTGATTTGTCGCGTACCTATAACGCTTTCCCAAGAACCCATCAAGTTCCTATGGTGCGGTGAGAACTTTCAGTTTTGCACCTATTCTTGGTCGTTTGACCAACGCGATTACGGGATCTTTGAAAAAAGTATCTATTGTGATGTTAGTGCGGTCGGTTTTTCATCCATAATTGTAGACCGGAATGAAGCAGCTAATTTTAACATTTCCGTCGCAACAATGGCAATACTGAAGTCTCATTACTATGTCAAGTCTGCTGACACGCGCGCAACAAATCAGAGAACACCTTGGAAGCTATAGCCACCATGTTCTCGCACCCTTTTCGGATCTGGGACTCATCGTCGAGAAAGATGTCATCTGTACAGCACCGAGATACTCCCGATTTACACTGAAATCTGTTCTGAATACTTCACAAAGATTTCGGCGAGAACCAGGGGGATTGCTACGCTCAGTGATTAGAGCGCAAATTTACTGACCGGAAGGTCCTTGGTTCGAATCCGACCTCTGCCTCTCGATGACCTGGCAATACTCCAGCCCTTGTGCTTCCTCCAGGTAGCATGGCAGCTAGACACCGAACTGAACGATGCTAGGCTCTGTTCTTGACTTTGAACCACTGTCACCGTTATGTTGATAAATCATACCGCAGTCTACTATGTTCCGAAACTAACTCAACATAAATAAATCAGTTGAGCCATGATTTGTAAGGATTTCCGGTCTACACAGGCGTACTTTTTCAGCGCAAACAAACGCTCGTAGGGTACCGTTTCGCCAAGTTCCCCTTGACAACATCTCTTGTCCTATAAAAAGTGATAATAGGTTTTCTTTATTCGTCGTGACTGGCGAATGTCTGAAATATCTGCTTTCGAAAATAGTTCGACCACCATACGGAATCTAATCGCCCGATGGCATAGGCGTTCAATATCCCATCGTACCGTGGCTAATGAAATGCTTGCATGCCTCACGTACGAGCCTGGCTCACTGAGTTTGCACAATCCACTTCAGAGCTCAGTTTGAACGCATTATTGGCCCCTAAACTGCAAGGCTGAGTATGCTGACGATGACTTTACGTGCTCCCATAGTTCCATAGGTCGCTTGCGCAGTACGTGTCCCAATCACTAGTGCCGGTAGTGTCAGATTATTGTAGGCAGTGTTTTCACATCACGGCTTCGTTCGAAAGGAAACGGAAAGTAGCGAAAACACTTAACCGACAGTTCTTGTCTTTTCATGGCCCTACGTATTTCGCATGCCTAAAGGAGAACCGGATGGATACAGCTTGAACTCTATGAGTCTTGAAGTTCCCATGGCCACACTGTCTGAATCTGGTCTGTCCATGTGAATGTGAGGTTGGACGATCTCCTTACCGACTGGTCGTTAGCAGGTAGTACCAGTGTTGGTACTTTCATTCGTACAAAGGTGTATTCGGTATCTTTGTAATGTACTACTCGTAAGGTCGCTGAAAATCTGTCGACAGCCCACGACCGGTTTCGCCATTTTTGGGGCTCATCAGGTAGGCGCAGTCCCCGAGTTTCCGTCAACCTTATGTTCTACTTGAAGCCAAATTGCACGAAATTAGCGAACTGAATACAGTTACCGAATATACACTCACTTGCAAACTAATTTGGTTCTTTCGAGAGACACCTGGAACCCAGCTGAATCTCTCGTTTGCCACTTTTAGCCACCGGTGGCAAGTGTAGCATGCCACCCCTATTTGCCACCTCTTGTTACCGGTGGCGTGTTTACTGGGCAGGTGGTACAGGAATGTCAGTTACCCGCAAGGAAGTTCTCTGTTTCAGTCTTTATTTTCCACCTACTGTGCGTAACTCACGCAAACTTTGTGAAGAAATGGACGTATGTACGATTACCACTCAATATCAGGACGATGGAACGTACTCCCATGGGACATCTTTCACGATATTGTGGCCCCCATCAAGTGCCATCCTTAAAGGCGTCCCAGAAAAATGTTGGTATTCCTCAATTTCCATTCAAAATTTACCTTGTATGCATGACCCTACTGATTAAAAGTAATTTCCGATGAGTAGCAATCGAATATTGTATGTCTTCCCAAATGTTATCACACTGACCACTTCATTCATTTAAACAATCGTCAAACTGTATGAAGTACTGTTACAGCGTTTTGAGTAAAAATCTTGAGTTCAGCAACTCCGCACGTTAGTTAGCTAAAACAAAAAGCTCTGAACTGAATGCTTAGACGTAGTATGTTGAAACTGACCAAAGTCCCAACGACCTGAAATAGGTCGTAGCGTTTGAAAGCAAGAATTTTTCCGCACTTCACATGAAGAATGAAGCATACAAATGTCTACTTTTCTACAATTAGGAATGAAACCGTTTTTAGTTATTTCCCTTTGTGTGAGTGTGTAAAGTATGTATGACATATCAATTGGTAGGTCAATCGAGAGAAGCGTTGAACTCAAGCCCAGATATGAGCCGGAGATTGTATTTTTCTGAGAATGGCTCAGTTTGAGCCCCGTTTTTATGCTCTTTTAGATGACAGATCTCAGTACGCAACTTGAAAGAACAATATTTTTTCGGAAGCGGTGCGTACTTTTGGAAGTGTTTAACCTTGAGTATCATATTCATTTTTTCTAGTGTTAACGCACTGTTACACCACGACAAAAGTCTGAATTATGCGGAGATCACGTACTTCAATGATGCAAGGACCTATGAGAACTGATGGAGGTCAAGGGTCATATGTTTCGGGCGGGGAATAGAGAGTCGGTGCCATGCTCATCATACAGCTTAGCTGGTTTTTCTGGTGGCTTAGTGGTTACTACTAGGGCGAGATGGCCCAAATGGTTAGCGCGCAAATTTACTGACCGGAAGGTTCGTGGTTCGAATCTGACCTCCGCCTCTCGACTTCCCCTGTCTAGGCTTGGTCAACCTGGCAGTATCCCAGCCCTCGTGCAAACTTCGGGTGGCATGGCAGCTAGGCACCGGAAGGGTGCTACTGCTGAACGCTAGTGGGTACTATTAAATCAGGTGTTACGGGAGCAAAAAATTCGACCGGAGTACGAAAGCGTATGACTTGAGGTTTCTGGGTGTTACGCATCGTAGTGAAAGAAAGTCGGTTCGCTGGATAGTTTGTGGGAAACAAACATCCGCTCCTCATTGTACACCGCTTGCGAATAGCTAACCCAACTAACCAGCATCGCGAGCGGGATCTGCCTATCCAACGAAATCATTTCATTCGAATGCGATCCCCGTAGTCATCCTTCTTTCTTTTACCCTTTCAGATGGCCTTTTCTGTTGGCAATTATTGGCTCCAGCGCACTATTTCTCTGAAGCGTCATTCGCGAGGCTGTCACTACATTACTGACGATATCAAAAAAGCGTTGCCAGAGATTGCACAGATCAAAATGGGCGTGCTTCACCTATTTAGTAAGTTTTTATTTCAAATTTTAGTTGCAGTTTGGTGTCCTGTTCACACCTGGCAGCATTGTTATCACTACGAACACAGGATTCGGCCTGTTTTATGCAAAAAATCGTTCAGCTGTAGCACCCGCAGCATTGTTATCACTACGAACACAGGATTCGGCATGTTTTATGCAAAAAATCGCTCAGCTGTAGCATCCTTTCGGTACCTAACTGCCATGCCAGCCGAAGGTTGCACGAGGGCTGGAATACTGCCAGGTTGACCAAGCCTAGACAGGGGAAGTCGAGAGGCAGAGGTTGGGTTTGAATCACGGACTTCATGTCAGCAAATTCGCGCTCTAACCACTTGGACCATCCTTGTGACTGCCTGTAGTGAAGGGAATGTTTAACAAGGTAGTTTTCACCGGTGTTTCTTATAATAATCGATATGTGGGATATCTGTTTGAGGCTTCGTCATGTTTTCAGACTGCCCACGTTAGCCTGTTGTCCAGTGTAACGTCCAACCACACCTCTCATAATTTAGCTGCTGACATCAATAATACTACATCTAACCCCGGTACTTGAGGCGAAATCCAAGAACAGCATGTAGGGCTTCGCTGCACACAGTTGAGAGATTCTCTTGTGAAAACCAAATTGATTTGGGTGCATGAATCACTTCACCAATTATTCATGTTTTCCTCGACGTCAAGGTAGTCTTCTATACCGAAGGTAGGTCACTTGTTTTATTACGCTTGCGTAAAAGGGATATCTCTGAATTTCGAGAAATACATCCATTTGCAAATCAATTTGGTTTTCACGAGAGACTCAACGGAATCTCTCGTTTGT